TATCTCCCCTTATGTATTATACATGGTGATCATATCCCCCCTTATGTATTATACATGGTGATCATATCCCCCCTTATGTATTATACATGGCGATCATATCCCCCCTTATGTATTATACATGGTGATCATATCCCCCCTTATGTATTATACATGGTGATCATATCCCCCCTTATGTATTATACATGGAGATCATATCCCCCCTTATGTATTATACATGGAGATCATATCCCCCCCTTATGTATTATACATGGAGATCATATCCCCCCCTTATGTATTATACATGGAGATCATATCCCCCCTTATGTATTATACATGGAGATCATATCCCCCCTTATGTATTATACATGGAGATCATATCCCCCCTTATGTATTATACATGGTGATCATATCCCCCCTTATGTATTATACATGGTGATCATATCCCCCCTTGTGTATTATACATGGAGATCATATCCCCCCTTGTGTATTATACATGGAGATCATATCCCCCCTTATGTATTATACATGGTGATCATATCCCCCCTTATGTATTATACATGGTGATCATATCCCCCTTATGTATTATACATGGAGATCATATCCCCCCCCCTTATGTATTATACATGGAGATCATATCCCCCCTTATGTATTATACATGGAGATCATATCCCCCCCCCTTATGTATTATACATGGAGATCATATCCCCCCTTATGTATTATACATGGTGATCATATCCCCCCTTATGTATTATACATGGTGATCATATCCCCCCTTATGTATTATACATGGAGATCATATCCCCCCTTATGTATTATACATGGAGATCATATCCCCCCTTATGTATTATACATGGTGATCATATCCCCCTTATGTATTATACATGGTGATCATATCCCCCTTATGTATTATACATGGAGATCATATCCCCCCTTATGTATTATACATGGAGATCATATCCCCCCCTTATGTATTATACATGGTGATCATATCCCCCTTATGTATATACATGGAGATCATATCCCCCCTTATGTATTATACATGGAGATCATATCCCCCCTTATGTATTATACATGGTGATCATATCCCCCCTTATGTATTATACATGGAGATCATATCCCCCCTTATGTATTATACATGGAGATCATATCCCCCCTTATGTATTATACATGGAGATCATATCCCCCCCTTATGTATTATACATGGTGATCATATCCCCCCTTATGTATTATACATGGAGATCATATCCCCCCCTTATGTATTATACATGGAGATCATATCCCCCTTATGTATTATACATGGAGATCATATCCCCCCTTATGTAATTATACATGGAGATCATATCCCCCCTTATGTATTATACATGGTGATCATATCCCCCCCTTATGTATTATACATGGTGATCATATCCCCCTTATGTAATTATACATGGAGATCATATCCCCCCTTATGTATTATACATGGAGATCATATCCCCCCTTTTGTATTATACATGGTGATCATATCCCCCTTATGTATTATACATGGAGATCATATCCCCCTTATGTATTATACATGGAGATCATATCCCCCTTTATGTATTATACATGGAGATCATATCCCCCCTTATGTATTTATACATGGAGATCATATCCCCCCTTATGTATTATTATACATGGAGATCATATCCCCCCTTATGTATTATACATGGAGATCATATCCCCCCCTTTGTATTATACATGGAGATCATATCCCCCTTATGTATTATACATGGAGATCATATCCCCCCTTATGTATTATACATGGAGATCATATCCCCCCCTTATGTATTATACATGGATATCATATCCCCCCCTTATGTATTATACATGGAGATCATATCCCCCCTTATGTATTATACATGGAGATCATATCCCCCCTTATGTATTATACATGGAGATCATATCCCCCTTATGTATTATACATGGAGATCATATCCCCCTTATGTATTATACATGGAGATCATATCCCCCCTTATGTATTATACATGGAGATCATATCCCCCCCCCTTATGTATTATACATGGAGATTCATATCCCCCTTATGTATTATACATGGAGATCATATCCCCCCCTTAATCTCTTCTCAAGAGAGAATAAATTCAGTTCCTCTAATCTTTCCTCATAGCTGAGCTCCTCCATCTCTCTCTCTCTCTATCTCTTGGGGGTGGAGGGGGGTGGTGTTGGTTGGTGTTCGATTTTTGTGTTGCCTAGGGCAGCACAAAACCTAAATACACCACTGGATCCACTGGCTTCACAGCTGGATCGGAGAGCCCAGAGAGGAAGCGAAGAGCAGCGGGATGGGGGTTGACCCCTCCTTCCACTTGGAAAAGTGATCCAACGGCTAATTAGCTGCTCAGATCACTTTTACAAAAAAGAGAATCGCCTGCAGATGAAAAAAACACTGGGTTGATGCGTGCAGCTACAAGTGTCTGTCAAGTATAAGCTCCGGAACCCGCTGACACATAACTACGCATCATTGCAGTTCGGAGATACTGTAGCTAAAGCAACCAGTGAGATGCATAGGCTGCCATTGCCGGTCCTGTCCTGAAAATACTAGTGGCTTGTCTGTTATGGTGACCTTCTGGTTTCACCAACCTAAAAGAAGTATAAAGATCAGGAAAATCATAGTCAAAAGTCAAAATCTGCTTGTTCACTAGGGTCTTTCACACGAGTGGTCAGGGGTGGTAAAAAAACAGGTAGCTGAGCCTCAGTTTTGCTGCCTCTCCCAACCCCACCCCCCTGCCAGACAGGGCTATAGACATGCTGGGGCTGCAATGCTTTGCTTGACAGCAATAGCATTTTTAACTTGGGGGGCCTGTTCACACCACTTGCAGAGGGTTTCCTGCACTGCACAGGAACATGTTCCCCTCTTTAATTAATTGTTAATGGCACCCTAAACACATCTAATAAATGTGTGTGGATTTGTAGCCACCAAAACACATGGTACTGCAGCACCCAGCGATTTGGAGCAATTTTAAAAGTTGGCTGTGGAAATTGTGCTGTGCGGGAATGCACAGAAACCTATGCATGCAAATATGTGTGTTGTGGTGTCAACCAGCCCCCAGGCTGCAGAGTGACAGGTGGCACCAGGGCTGTGGATAAGGGGGCACCCCCAGTCCTCCTGTATGGGGCCCAGGCCAGCAGGGGGCCCAGGAAGCTGGGTGAATCAGATATGGGCAGGGAGGGTGATCAGCAGGGGGGGCAATTACTGGAACTGATACCCTGTATAGCTTTCCCTGCAGTATCTGAAAGCTGGATTCTTCTCTTCTCCCTCTCGCTGGTTTTCAGCTGCTGCAGAGAGCCATACAGGGGATCGGTTCCAGTAATTGCCCCGCCCACCCATGCCGATCACCTTTTCTTGTGTACTGCCTGGGCCCCCACAGTGCCGGCTTCCCTCCTCTCCTTCCCACCGGCAGCTGCAAGCACACAATAGGATTCTTCAGGATAGAGAGTGGGGGAAGGGTCTTCTAAATATGTCACACCAGCCTCTTCATTTCCTGAATGAACACAATGAGTGATTGGTACGGATCACTCACTGTGTTTATTCATAACTGAAACATAGTAAGCTGTGGGGGCCCTGTCAGGTTGGCTGTATGGGGCCCCCGTGATTTCTAACAGCAGGCCTGGGTGGCACCGCCTGTCAATCTTGCCCATTGAGATGAATGGGTACGCACCGCAACGATTGGCATTCAGTTCCATCTCAATCCCATAATGTAAAATTTCCAGTTGGGCATAAAACCCCCCAAAAAACAGGTGCAGGAGGTGGCAGCAGCACCTCCCGAATGGCTGTCAGATGCTGCTACACTGCCCTCTGAAAAACTATCCACTACGGATAGCTTTTCAGAGGGTGGCAAGCTTACCACCTATCTGAAAAAACCCTTACAGGTTGGAGATGAAAAATATTCAAGCAAGATCTTTAGTTATCACTAGGGGGATTGGCAACTGATATGAGGTGGTCTTGATTCCCCTAGATAGATCTTTATCACTAGAGGGGTCATCAACAGGAAGATAAAGGTTCCGAAGGGCAGTATGTTCAATATGAAACTAAGAGCAAGAACAAGGAGACCTGACCCCATACTAGCAATAAGAAAGTTCAAAATTAATCTTAAAGTGCTACTAAACCCACAACAGTACAATCAGTCTGTATATGCAGTAAAGCATGCTTGTTATACTCACTGTGGAACCTAAAGGGTTAATCCTCTGCATCGTGTAAAAAGGCTGTTTGATCCTGTCTTCTCTGATCCTCCCCTCCTACTGTCCCCAATCCATCTCCTGATAGTACAGAGCTGTAGGAGTCACTCTGCACATGCTCAGTTTGGAGTGTATTGCTAGGAAGGTTTTTTTTTGTTTTTTTTTTGGGAGAGTGCATGTGATCAGCACAGGGCCAATCAGCACTGTCCAGACAGAGGGTCAGGGGATATGCAGCCTCATAGGACAGTCAAGAGGGAGAATGAAAACTCCTCCTACAAGCTTTAACCAGTGCTCAGCCAGACACTGATAGAAGTCACATGACTGCTCTACCTCCTAATGAGAAAAGGTATTTAACAGTTTTTATTTACTAAAATAATTACATTTTCATGTTCTCTGTACTGTGGAAAACCAGATATAGTGAATGCAGGGTCCGGGGAGACCGGATATAGTGCATGCAGAGTCCGGGGAGACTAGATATAGTGAATGCAGGGTCTGGGGAGACCAGATATAGTAAATGCAGGGTCCGGGGAGACCAGATATAGTGAATGCAGGGTCCGGGGAGACCGGATATAGTGAAAGCAGGGTCCGGGGAGACCAGATATAGTGAATGCAGAGTCCGGGGAGACTAGATATAGTGAATGCAGGGTCTGGGGAGACCAGATATAGTGAATGCAGGGTCCGGGGAGACCAGATATAGTGAATGCAGGGTCTGGGGACACCGGATATAGTGAATGCAGAGTCTGGGGAGACCGGATATAGTGAATGCAGAGTCCGGGGACACCGGATATAGTGAATGCAGAGTCTGGGGAGACCGGATATAGTGAATGCAGGGTCCAGGGAAACCAGATATAGTGAATGCAGGGTCCGGGAGACCAGATATAGTGAATGCAGGGTCCGGGGAGATCAGATATAGTGAATGCAGGGTCTGGGGAGATCAGATATAATGAATGCAGGGTCCGGGAGACCGGATATAGTGAATGCAGGGTCCGGGGAGCCTGGATAAAGTGAATGCAGGGTCCTGGGAAGACTGGATATAGTGAATGCAGGGTCCGGGGAGACCGGATACAGTGAATGGAGGGTCTCCGGGGAGACTTGATATAGTGAATGCAGGGTCCGGGGGAGACGGATATAGTGAAGGCAGGGTCCGGGGAGACCGGATATAGTGAAAGCAGGGTCCGGGGAGACCAGATATAGTGAATGCAGAGTCCGGGGGGAGACTAGATATAGTGAATGCAGGGTCTGGGGAGACCAGATATAGTGAATGCAGGGTCCGGGGAGACCAGATATAGTGAATGCAGGGTCCGGGGACACCGGATATAGTGAATGCAGAGTCTGGGGAGACCGGATATAGTGAATGCAGGGTCCAGGGAAACCAGATATAGTGAATGCAGGGTCCGTGGAGACCAGATATAGTGAATGCAGGGTCCGGGGAGATCAGATATAGTGAATGCAGGGTCTGGGGAGATCAGATATAATGAATGCAGGGTCCGGGGAGACCGGATATAGTGAATGCAGGGTCCGGGGAGCCTGGATATAAGTGAATGCAGGGTCCTGGAAGACTGGATATAGTGAATGCAGGGTCCGGGGAGACCGGATACAGTGAATGCAGGGTCCGGGGAGACTTGATATAGTGAATGCAGGGTCCGGGGAGACCGGATATAGTGAAGGCAGGGTCCGGGGAGACCAGATATAGTGAATGCAGGGTTCGGGGAGACCAGATATAGTGAATGCAGGGTCCGGGGAGACCAGATATAGTGAATGCAGGGTCCGGGGAGACCAGATATAGTGAAGGCAGGGTCCGGGGACACCGGATATAGTGAATGCAAAGTCTGGGGAGACCGGATATAGTGAATGCAGGGTCCAGGGAAACCAGATATAGTGAATGCAGGGTCCGTGGAGACCAGATATAGTGAATGCAGGGTCCGGGGAGATCAGATATAGTGAATGCAGGGTCCGGGGAGACCAGATATAGTGAATGCAGGGTCCGGGGAGACCAGATATAGTGAATGCAGGGTCCGGGGAGACCAGATATAGTGAATGCAGGGTCCGGGCAGACCAGATATAGTGAATGCAGGGTCCGGGGAGACCGGATATAGTGAATGCAGAATCAGGGGAGACCGGATATAGTGAAGGCAGGGTCCTGGGTTTAATAACACTTTATAAGGTATAATTTTACTGAAGCAGTAGTTGATCTTGGAATAGACTTCCAGTAGAGGTAGTGAGTCAGTCAACAATAAGTGGATTCATACATACATACATACATACATACATTCATACATACATACATGGGACAAACATAGATCTATACTCAGACAAAAAAAAAACAACAAAAAACAAAACAATAAAACAAAAAAATATAACAAAATAACAAGGGGCGGACTCGATGGACCACTTTTTTTCTGCTGTCACTCTTGTATGTGTCAGATATGATTGACACCTATCCCATTTACAGCTATCAGCGCACTCCTATGGGCGTGTCCCTCCCATTGTGATTACAATAAAAATAATACATCCTGCATAGTTACATAGTTAGTCAGCCATACATTAAATCTCTACAAAACATAAAAATCTGCATCCACAGAGCTCTTAAAGGATTAACTAGTATTTTTTCTTTAAATAACAAACATGTTATACTTACCTGCTCTGTGTAATGGTTTTGCAGAGAGCAGCCCCGATCCTCCTCTTCTTGAGTCCCCGGCTGGCGCTCCTGGCTCCTCCCCCCCGCCAAGTGCCCCCAGAGCAAGCCACCTACTATTGGGGGAACTCGTGTGAGCTCAATCCCAAGGCAGCGGCGTGCCCATCAACACACAGAGCGCAACTCAGCCACACCTCCTGCTCCTTCCTCACTGGCTGTGATTGACAATGGCTCCCGCTGCTGTCTCTGAGCCAATGAGAGGGGAGAGAGCTGATAGAACCTCAGGCAAGTATAAGGGTGGCTGGGAGCTGCATGCAGAATGTTTGTTTTTTTTATTAAGCTTAATGCATGTACACCTTTGGATGGGTACTGAGGAACACGTGGTACAATGGTTCATATCATTTATATGTGGTTGAGATGCGATTTTACCTCCCCCACACACACTTTAGCAGCAAAGGCAGTGGCTGTGACTGCAATGCTTTGGTTCGTGGCCACAGCAGGAATTATGCCAAGCTAGTGCAGGGTTCATTAGGGTGATACAACACCTTCTCATCAGCTGTCAAATGCAGTCTGAAGAGCGATCAGAATGTGGACTGTTCTTAGTAGCCGTAAGGGCATCAGATAAAGCAGTGTGTGTACAAGACAGGAAGTGAAGAAAAATGACCCCATTTGGACAGAGATGGCTTACAAGCGCATGCTCACCAGTGTATGATGCTTAAGCACTATCCACTTAAGCTCCGGAAGATTTGACCCCCTTTATGGACCAGGCCATTTCTTTGCTATTCAGCACTGCACTACTTTAAGTGGCAATTGTGCGGGTCATGCAACGTTGTACCCAAATAAAATTTTAAACTTTATTAGTTTACACAAATAGAGATTTCTTTTGGTGGTATTTGATTTGTTTTATTATATAAATGAAAAAAGACTGCAAAATTTAAAACACAAATATTTTTACTTTCTGCTATAAAACATATTCAATTAAAAAGTTTTAACAAATCAAATTTATTCATAAATTTAGGCCAAAATGTATTCTGCTACGTGTCTTTGGTCAAACAAAACCCCCAATAAATATATATTGATTACTATGCCCGCAAGTTAAAGCGTCTACAATCTATGGTATATATACTGGAAATTGTATTTGTTTTTTTTTTACACTAGTAATGGCAGTGATCAGCGACTTATAGTGAGACAGTGATAGTGCAGTGGGCAATCTGACACTAACTGACACTGGGTGGGAACTGACTAACTGACATCTTCAGTGACAGTAATACAGTGATCACTGTTAATACTATACACTGTCACTGTACTGACACTGGCTGGGAAGGGGTTAACATCTAGGGGCGATCAAAGGCTTAACTGTGTACCTAGCAATGTGTACTGTGTGTTGTCAGGGCTGCTGTTAGAAACCACGGGGCCCAATACAGCCAACCTGACAGGGCCCCCTCAAAAAACGAAACAAAACACAGTTTACTATACTTCACTTATGAATGAACACAATGAGTGAACGGTACCAATCCCTCATTGCAATCATTCAGGAACATAAGGGGCTGGTAAATGTGACATATTTATCGGGCCCTTCCCTTAGTCTCCATCCTGAAGGAACCTTTTGCGTAACTGCAGTTGCCGGTGGAAAGGAGAGGAGGGAAGCCGGCAGGGGTGGGGGCACACAGGGGTCCTGAGCAGCAAAGGGAAACATATGGAACACAGGGAGGGTGATGGGTGCGGCGGGGGGGGGGGGGTAAATTACTGGAAACAATCTCATGTATGGCTCTCTCTGCAAAAGATGAAAGCCAGCAGGAGAGAGAGGAGAAGAAGCCAGCTTTCAGCTGCTGCAGAGAGATCCATATAGGAGATTGGTTCCAGTAATTGTCCCCCCACCATGTCGATCACCCTCCCTGCCCACAAATCTGATTCACCCAGCTGCCTGGGCCCCCCTGCTGGCCTGGGCCCCATACAGGAGGACTGGTGGTACCCCCCTTATCCACGGCCCTGTGTGTAGTATGTGCTGCCTTTACTAAGCAATGTGCCGGTTTTACTCCCTGCTTTGCAAGGAAAAAAACAAATGGCACATCTCTGCTGTCTGTGCAGAGCTCTTTGTTGTTTGTCAACACAGGGCTCTGTTCTGTCATTCACTCAGCCAATCAGTAGTGTTTGGCTCTATGTTCAAGTCGAACCTAAGTTCGACTCAAACATGGGCCGTTTGTGTGTTCGCTGAACACACACGAACGGTAAGGGCGTTCAGCAGGCTGTTTTGGCCGTCGCGCCCCACAATGCACTGCACCCTGATTGTGCATTATGATTGGTCAAAGCAATGCACCTGACCACAGGTTTGGTATGGATAGTAGGGGGGACCTCACGCCATTTTAATTTTAATTGTCGGGAAATACTAACAATTCTTTTTACATTCAGCTGTCAGCGGGGAACCCCACTGACAGCTGAAACATCAATGAATGTTTCACTACTAAAATACCGCATGACCTAATAATAGAACGCATGCGCTATTTTCAGTAACTGACCGGTATCTTATCACATACTCATTGATGCTGTAAGATACCGCTCGGGTTCAAAGGTTGTGGTCGAACATTCTCTAGGTTTTTGAACGTTCAACCGCGAACCGTACAGGGGGGGTGTTTGGCCCATCACTACCAATCAGTGGGTTTCCTTGGCGGCCATAAATCATTGACTGGGACCTGCCTGATCAGATTGTACTGTAGTGAATGACCGCACAGACGGGGAGGTGGGTCCGCGCCATTACTATATTACAGTGATGGCCAGGGGCGGACTGACAAAAACTCATTGGCCCCCGGGGCAATAGGGGATCTCATGAGGCCCCGGGCAATAGGGTTGGAGATTCACAGATCATGGGGCCCCTGTGTCCTTGCCCACACTCAAAGCACACCCAAAAAATATTCCCATCCAAGAGCTCTAGCCTATATTAAATTGTAACAATATATTTGACATTTATGTCTTCCTTCATACAGGCCTGGTACCAGGGGCATTCCCCTAGGGAAGTGGTTGGCCCCCGGCAAATGCTGACCCTTAGTGTCACGTTCTGGCCTGTGAATCTCTTTTCACAACCCTCGGGCAGTGTGGGGCCCCCTACTGAGGCCCTCGGGCAGTGTCCGAGTGCTCGAGTCCCTCCCTCCCTGGTCCGCGCATGCACCCCCTACCCAGAAATGACATCATGTACATGATTTGGTGCAGAAGAGCCATCACCCCGCAGTACATCTACATGGGCCAGTCGGCAAGTAGTGATTTATTTTAACTTTGTTGATGCGTCCCAAAATGACTGCATGCAGTGCGGGGAGCTCCACGGCATCAAAATTCGGAAATACTGCATTAGTACAATATTACGGCGTGAACGGGGCACATAGACACGTTGAACCTTCGTTGATCTATGCAGCTCAATGGACGTGGTGTGAACAAGCCCTTCCAGAAGCTGAGCCCAGCCCCTGGCACAGTAAATATGCTTGCAGCAAACACAACGCTACCCTATAAAAAAAAAGTGTCATTTAATTCAGGTGTGTGTTTATTGTTTGTGCTCCTTTGATTCTAATTATTCAGTGATGTAAATTTGTCCCCCAGGCATACAAGAGTGATTGGAGATGAACCAACTATTTTATAATATATCAAAGCTGTCACATATGTACTGCATGTACACTGATATTCTACAAAACCTTGGGCTGTTTCTGTAAACAGAGACACTGGGAAGAGATGTTTCTACCACTCTGCATATGACACCTGTATACATGCAAAGCTTATGTAATGAGACTCAGGGGATCCTCACTGCTCACAATCAGCTCACTGAGCCTTAGGAAAAGATCCCTGTGCCTCATTTGATGCATCATTGTAAAATGGTACTTTGTCGCCCTCTAGTGCATAGTTGGCATATTGAAGGACTGTCACTTTTACCCCCTTCCTGCCCAGGCCAATTGTCAGCTGTCAGCGCTCACACTTTGAATAATAATTGCACAGTCACGCAATTCACAAAAAGAACATTGGGGAACTGGGGAAAGTACAGAGAAGGGCAACCAAACTGATAAGAGGCATGGAGGAGCTCAGCTATGAGGAGAGATTAGAGGAACTGAATTTGTTCTCTCTTGAGAAGAGGAGATTTAGGGAGGATATGATCTCCATGTATAATACATAAGGGGGGATATGATCTCCATGTATAATACATAAGAGGGGATATGATCTCCATGTACAATACATAAGGGGGGGATATGATCACCATGTATAATACATAAGGGGGGATATGATCTCCATGAATGATACATAAGGGGGGATATGATCTCCATGTATAATACATAAGGGGGATATGATCTCCATGTATAATACATAAGGGGGGGATATGATCACCATGTATAATACATAAGGGGGGATATGATCTCCATGAATGATACATAAGGGGGGATATGATCTCCATGTATAATACATAAGGGGG